CTTGCCTAAAGGGACTCCTTTTAATAATATATATTAGTTATTAAATTATTATTTTTATTATTTATTATTTTATATTATTAATATTATTTTAATATTATTAATTTAGTAAGACAAATAAAGCAAATTCAATTAGTATAGACTTAGTTAGTATCAGACATATCTGGTGGTAGTTTTTACTAGCGTTAAGACGTCTTATGAGTCCGGACGACTAGGTACCACCACCCTGCCTATTTCTAATATAGAAAAGTATATATAAACATTTTGAGGGCGTTCGATAAGTGCTTGTAAATTTTTTTTTTTTTTTTTATGATTGAGAGATTACTGGTGGCCCGAAGGCCTTTCCAGTTTCACCAGGACAGGTGGGCGAGCAAAGGCTCAGCCAGGAGGGGTGGGATTTGCTAACAGCTGCCCGAGCGCCTCCGAAGGAGACCTAACAACTCAAGAGCAATTGCTTCGCGAATGAATCTACTACCGGATCGGAATCGCGANTTTGTAAGTGCCCGGACGTTACGAAGTTTTAATTATAACAACATTTAGTTTTGCAAGTTACTGATCAATTCGCATTTTACTTACTACAGCGAACTGAATAAGTAACTGTTTCGTTGAGTTGTGATATAAGTACGTTTATTTAGCTATTATTAACTCTGATATTCAGAGAGCTCGATAGCTATTATATTATTAAAATTCAAACTTTACTTTCTGTTACAATAATTTAAAATAATTTTATAGTAACCAACTACTATTTATATTCCGTCAACGCCAATTAATTAAGCACTACCTTTCAATAACAATAAATGAAACGAAATAAATCGCAGTATCATTTCAAAAAAAAATTGATTTTTTAATTGTGTAATCACTACACGTCATTCCGCAAAACTTCTAATCCCGTTACGTTTTTTTTTTTTACGAAGACAATAAATTTTCATTAAAGTCAGCATACATACTTGTAGTTCGCACTTTCCTTTTTTCGTGTCAAATCGGAGTCCAATTAATTTTGCCGGAACAATTTCGATTCGTCGCCAAATCCCGGAATGCTGTTCGAGACCTGGGAACGCCCCGTCCCCACTTCGGCAGTTTGATTTTATTGGAATCGCTGTCGTTTCTGTGCTAAGATTTCATACATAACTAACGGAGTAAATCAATCACTATGTGAAGATAAGAAGTCTGCGTCAAATATGAATTTGCTTTAAAAAGGAAATATGAATTTGCTTTGCACAAAAGGTTCCAAACTTGGTTTTTCTATTTGTTGTGGGTGTATACGCTTTTGAGATGTGGTGCTGGCGACTTATGCTACGAATATCATGGACGGCCCGCCGCACCAACATCTCTATTCACTCAAGCAGCTAAAAATAGAAAAGACTCAACGTCTATCTACAACTTGCCTACAAAGAATATTCCGGAATTTTGGTCATGTTGCACGCAGGAACACCAGCAATTTGGAACGCCTTGTGGTGACCGGTAAAATCGAGGGAAAAAGGCCTAGGGGTAGTGGTCCCAAACGAGGGTCGAACCAAATAGCGGAGGAACTGAGGGTACCTGTTAGCGACGCACTCCACCAAGCTACAGAGCGGGATCGATGGAGACAGCTGGTTGACAGAATCGGACGGAGTCGCGATTCCCAGCAACGAGGGATCGATTGAAGAGTACTGAAACCTCAAGTATAAATCAAGGTGGGTGACGACCTTCACATAATCGTCAATATATTTTGGCAACAACTTAATATCACACATGCCGTGAAAGTTGCGTTTTTTGGAAAGCACCTGGAATGTCTTGTAGTTCTACCTAATTTACTTAATTAGACAGCTGATTTGGTAGTATGCATTTTAATTATTAATTTTTAACCAGTTGTTTAAAGTATGAATTAAGCAGAGGGACTTTTTAAGTAGTTCGTGGAGTCCTTGAGTAATTAGAGGCCGCATTTAGTACACGGTTAATCTGAAGTCCATAGACATCAAAACGTGAAATCCGCCATCCTCTTTAATACATGATATCGAAGTCTCAGTTCTGTAATCCTTGAGCTGTTAGGTCTCCTCCGGATGGGCCTGGATGGCTGTTAGTAAATTCCACCTTCCACCACTTGCGCTGGTGAAACATCTCAAGTTGGGTGGCGGCATTTACGTTGTAGGATGTCTATGGACTCCAGTAACCACTTAACACCAGGTAGGCTATGAACTCGTCCACCCATCTATACAATAAAAAATAAAAAAGTAGTTGCTCGTGGACATCACTAATGCTGCAGGAACATCGTATGCATTCCGCATAGAAATGCATGAAATTAATATAATGAAACCAACAAATTTAAATTCAACCGGTACTCCGAATGCTAAAGTTTTAGACGGTTAATGTGTTCTCAACAAAGTCCTAATAGAGCAAAATTATGCATGCGTTAATTGTGGAGGAGTCCAAACTAAGGTTGAGAGCACCTGTTCCGTGCTAGCTAATATCAAAGTTTCGAATCCACAAACTGACCACCTATGGCAGCGATTCCCAAACTGCGGTACGCCGCATTAAGTCGCATTGGTTATACGTGAAAATTATCGTGATAGTGGCGGAAATACTGAGAATTAAAAACAGTTAATATATAAATATTATTGTAATGTATTGTCTTTAATATGTTGTTTACAAGGTACCTGATCTATACTCTATACTAATATTATAAAGAGGAAAGATTTGTTTGTTTGTTTGTTTCGAATAGGCTCCGAAACTACTGGACCGATTTGAAAAATTCTTTTTCCATTAGAAGCCGACATTGTCCCTGATGAACATAGGCTACTTTTTTTAATTTTTTTTTATGTTTTTTTTTTGTTTCATGTGTGTTTTAATATTTCCGAAGCGAAGCGAGGGCGGGTCGCTAGTAAGTAATAAAATTACTAATGTGCTAGATCGTGAGCATTGGTTTGGTAAAATACAGTACATTCGGTTGTATACCACCCGTGTAAGCTTATGGTTGCTAAGAGAAATGAGACACGCTTTTATTAGTCAGTATGGAGTTATCAGGGGAGAGCTGTTCATAAATGAAAAGTTTTATTAAGAGAAGGAAAAAAGGTTAAGAAGCACTGGTTTAAAGTGTAGTAGAAGCTAAATATTTAGCGTTCAACGAATCCTATGTACATTACCATACAATAACAAAAATCATACTGTACCTGCGTATTTTTTTTTTCAGTTCATATAATTTAAGGGACATCCTTTATTTACTTACTAGAAGTGCCCCGCGGCGTCTCCCGCGTTATTTGTAATTCAGATGTAAATCATAACACAAACACGTTGCATTTTATCGGGTTAAAAAGTTGGGATAATGTAACAGTGAGAGAGAGAGAGAGAGAGAGAGAGAGAGAGAGAGAGAGAGAGAGAGAGAGAGAGAGAGAGAAATAATATAATATGGTTAATCCAGGTTGTAAATATTTTTTTGACAAATTTCATCCAAATCCGTTAGACATTTTTACATGATGGATTGATAATTTCGGTATAGATTTTTTAAAAGGAAAATATATGTTGTATTCTTTTTTCTAAACCTATGCACATGGTTTATGCCGTTAACTCGAACTTGGTAAAGCTATTCTTGGTACATCGGAAAAGTTTTTTGCCATTCTAAAATTTCCATAAATGCACTATGGATAGCGCGCGTGAAGGACATAAGTCATTTTGAATTCAAAATTGGGATCTACCATTCAAACTTAGACGACTCAAGTTATTGTGAAATACGGAATAAGGAATAATTCTAGTATCTGGAGAAGCGGCTTATCTAAATGCTACTACTAATAAGGGATTTTTTTATTGCTTAAACGGGTGGACGAACTCACAGCCCACCTGGTGTTAAGTGGTTACTGGAGCCCATAGACATCTACAACGTAAATGCGCCACCCACCTCGAGATGTAAGTTCAAAGGTCTCAAATATAGTTACAACGGCCGCCCCCACCCTTCAAACCGAAACGCATTACGCTTCACGGCTGAGATAGGCAGGGTGGTGGTACCTACCCGTGCGGACTCACAAGCGGTCCTACCATCAGTAATAAAAGATATACGTAAGATATACATATTTTGTTAAATAAATAAAAACTTTCAAATGAAATAGTTATCTTAATTTCTGATATTGTGAAGAATACGATATAATTGTATACTATACAAACCACAAACGAAAAGGTTAAAATAAGTAGGTACTTTTGTTGTATTCATTATGTTAATTCATAAATTTTCTGAACGTCGCGCAAAGACATAAATCTCTAGAACCGCTAATTTCGGTGCATAATTTATCGAGTTCTGAAAGACAGAGACGGTTGACTGATAATGGACGCCTATTAACTTTAACACTGTTTTAATTTAATGTAATGGGACGTGTTGATAATAAGGTTATTATAACATTTGGTAGTGAAGATAAATAAGTAAAGATAATAAAGTATTTAATGTAGTGTAGTAGTAAGTAAGTAATGTAGTGCTCTGAGGAATTGTTCGAGATGATACCAGCATCTCGTTTTTACCATCGCACCGCCCGCCACCGGAGTAGAGTTCATCCATACTACCTGGAGCGACTGCGGTCATCCACAGTGCGTTTCCAGAGGTCTTTTTTGCCACGTACCATCCGGTAATAAAAAATAAAAATAAAAAAGTAGTTTCACTTTATTACCTATCGGTAGGATATATTCTGAACTGCTTAGTATTAATTCCACCAGTCTGCCTTTGAAGGGTCGTTGCCTTTGTGTTGAAGGGCCTAGTTGTATAGAACTAAGATTTTGACCTCACGTTAATTCTACAAGGTTAGATAACCAATTAACACAAAGTAGGAAAGTATATTTTTCCGAAAAATTATGGACACTAAAATTATGGATATGACGTCTAAAACTTTACAAATATCCCATTTTGCATTAAAATTTATTTAATTAGTTAGTTCGCTTAAATAACGACACAAAAGATCTTAAAAATCGAAGTGAGTGAAGTAACATAAAACACACACTAATACTTATTATTTTTAAAGTAAATGCTAATGCAATGAATGTGTACAAAACTAATCCTTTTTCAATTAGCTTAAGCCTACAAATTTTTTATAAACGTAGAACGCTCCTACAGCACTCGTGACGGTACCAAGGAACAAAAGTGACCGATTTAAAACCTGTTAACAAAAAAAAAACATATAAAATCCTCATAATTCAATTCGTTACTATAATATAATATAATATATTTTATAATTACTAATATTATAGTAATAATTTATAATTAATAATAATTACTATAATATAATAATATATACTATAACATACTAATAGTTAGATACTCTGCGCAGCCACTAAAAATCACTACGCAAATATCACCATCTACGTTCAATCATGAGCTCTATGTCTTTAATGTATCATATAACAGCTGTCCAAGCCTTCACAATGGAATGCATTACTGCTTCGCGGCAAAGATAAGAAAAGTTGAGGTGTCTAGCCTACCCGTGAGGCCACAAAAGACTCTTTTACCGCCAATATAACAAGCAGCACTTTTGTAAAATGACCAATTGCTCACGGTAAGGCGTCTTGTGAGGCCGCCCGGATGAGCATCCATTCCTAACCTATTTCTATCGCAAAGCAGTGATGTGTTCCGATTTGAAAGATGGGGCAGCCGCTGTTTCTGGTTATAGGTAACGGGGTATCCTGGAACACCGGCGACACCGCCCGGTCGGCCGGACGTACCACCGACACGGACGTACCACCCACGGAGACCGACATCGTTGGTCACCGAAGAACGCCACGACGGCTTGTTGGTCGGGTTTCCTGGGAATGGCGCCGTGAGTCTGGTTTTGGTATTAGCCGCGGAAAACCTCTACTCTGCCTGTGTTCTGACCCAGGACGGAGATCGGACATCGGGTGAGAGTGTAAGGGGAGTTGTTTGGTGGGTAAGACCCTAGAACCCTAAAAATATCTTTGGGGCCGCGGTTCGTTCCCAAAATCTGCAGAGCGTCAAGACCCAGATACCCCGAGCGCCCCCTAGGTGCGGAAACCTCATATCTCACAAGGCTCAGCACCTTTCTCAAAAAAACCGTTGTACTGTGTAGAGCTAAGACGAACTCATGGTGTCGATGTGGGTGACGGCATGTAAATTGTTGATATCTATGGACTCCAGCAACCATTTAAAAAACCGGGTGGTTTTGTTGCGGTATTTTTGATGAAGAGATTTTGCACAACCTTGGCCTTAATTAAACATACACAATAAATGATAATCGACTTTTACCTTATCCTGCCATTGACGATTTTTGATACATTGAGTGTATGGGATCGTGGAGAATGTCACAGAGTTGTAGAGAGGAATCCAAACTTTGGGCATCAACCAAAAAATGACGTCATCAATAGCTTTTCGCAGGAGATAGGATGGTCGTGTTACAAGATCTCGCATCTGGAATAATACATAGTCAATAATCATCCAACTGACCGGCACTAAAAGTGNGGGTGATGGTAGACCGCGTTCCCCCGACCGCTCTGGGGGAAGGTGTAACGCGGCGCCATCAAAGCGGGCTCTCGGCCCGCTGAACGAGGGAACCGGTGGTCGTTTCGCTGGCGGCCACCGGTCCGGCGTCCGTGGGACGGTGGGATGGATGTAATGTGCTCTGCGTCAACCCTGTCCCGCCGTTTCAATAGCCCCGACTGGACTCCGGCCCGGTCCGAGGTAGGGCGCCGGTTGTGAGCGGCAGGAGTTTTTAGTGAGGTTCAACTCCCACATACCCCACCTGCCGCGCGGGTGGGGATCCGGCGATTTTCTCCTGTGGAAAAAAAAAAAAAAAAAAAAACTGACCGGCACTAAAAGTGCGGTAACGGCTGCTGCATACAATATTTTTTCCCTGCCTATTTGCTGGTAGCTGGGCTATTGTATAGGCTGATAATCAGTAGTTACTGATAAAGTCATTAAAACTGCATAGATTTTTATTTACGGCCTGAAGATTGAACGTCGGATATTGATGTCACGGTAACTTGTTTTCGAACGTAATAATTAAACTAGCGTTTTATTATTACATTTATTCAGCCAATACTATAAAAAAATATATAAAATGAAACTACTTTAATTGCTAAATTTAAAATTAAATGAAAAACCAGAACGAAATAGCCGAGCAAGTACAAGTTGAACAATGGCAGTGCAGTGTTCCATAAAAGTATAAACAATTCAAAAACTTTATGCCTAAATTTTTTTCTTCGTTTACTTTTTTTTATTTATTGCTTAGATAGGTGGATGAGCTCACAGCCCACCTGGTGTTAAGTGGTTACTGGAGCCCATAGACATTTACAACGTAAATGCGCCACCCACCTTGAGATATAAGTTTTAAGATCTCAGCATAGTTAACAACAGTGCCCTACCCTTCAAACCGAAACGCATTACTGCTTCACGGCAGAAATAGGCAGGGCGGTGGTACCTACCCGCGCGGACTTACAAGAGGTCCTACCACTAGTAATAAACAATAACGTAAACAAACAAACGAACAGAGACACTCCTAATCACCCCTCTATTGTTCAAAAATAATATTCAAAATATGTACCTCAATATAATTGTACATAGCCAGATCACTAATTGCAAAAGTATCCTCCCATCTAGTGTCAGAGAATTCTTTCAGTATTTTAGCCAGATCATCATGGTGCTTCTGGAATAATTGATTGAGGATCGTGCAATCTTCGAAGCCAGCGTTCATACCTTGGCCGTAAAATGGAACCACAGCGTGAGCTGCGTCACCAATGATCAGAGCTTTGTCTTCTACATTGTAAGGTCGACACTAAAAACGTAAAAAACACAGTCATAAAGATTTACTTTCCAACATAACAAAATCATATGGATAAACTGATTTCATAGAATTTCTGTCGATTATAAAAACTTTGGAAAATAATCAAAGGTCTTTTCAGAAATATTTACTATAATAGTATTATCCTGCATGTTTTTTTTTTAATTTAATTTTTTATTGCTTAGATGAGTGGACGAGCTCACAGCCCACCTGGTGTTAAGTGGTTACTGGAGCCCATAGACATCCACAACGTAAATGCGCCACCCACCTTGAGATAGAAGTTCTAAGGTCTCAAGTATAGTTACAATGGCTGCCCCACCCTTCAAACCGAAACGCATTACTGCTTCACGGCAGAAATAGGCAGGGTGGTGGTACCCACCCGCGCGGACTCACAAGAGGTCCTACCACAAGTAATTACGCAAATTATAATTTTGCGGGTTTTGATTTTTATTACACGATGTTATTCCTTCACCGTGGAAGTCAATCGTGAACATTTGTCGAGTACGTATTTCATTAGAAAAATTGGTACCCGCCTGCGGGATTCGAACACCGGTACATCGCTCAACACGAATGCGCCGGACGTCTTATCCGTTAGGCCACGACGACTTCTGAATTGTTCCTTTGTTTGTATTGTTCCTTTTATAATTATTGTAATTTAATAAAGCCATATTACCATGTTTCTCCATACAATCTATTAATTTAAATTCTTAATTCTTTGCTGTTTCGAAACATATTTTGAAAGCTATTATCGAAACTCGACCCAAGAAATACATCACAAATCCGAAACAATTACCGCATTAGATGGAAATATGCCAAACTTTCTAATGGTACTCCAGTCAATGAAAAGGCTTGAAATTTTTTTAAGCGTTCTATTGAAATTGCGTTAATTATAAGACTTCTCACCTTAATCGCAATCAAAGGCGAAGCTGATCCGGCAAAATAGTCGGCTATTAACTTTTGTTTTCCTATTAGCGGAATCGAATCTGGGAAATATTTTTCGAAAAACTTCAATAATTTATCTTCGCTATCTAAACTTTTGAAGTGTGTGAACGGCATGAAAAGTGTCACAGTCCAAGAGCAGTCCTGATTTGGGAGGGCGATCATCATAAATTCACCCCTAGGCCAGATATGCAGATAGTTCGGTGGCATCTGAAACTAAAATATACACTATTTAAAATTACCAGTGTTTGCGCAATGATTGATATAAATAACTGATACCTCAAAATTTAGATTCATTTGATGTATGTTTTACTATTTTGTTGAAAAAATTTAAAAAATACCATTGAAAAAATAAATTACACCACTAAAAGACTTTTTTATACAAATTATAATCCTTTGAAAAATAAAGGAGAACAGGGTACTGAACTGTTTTGTATTTATCTATTTATATCAATATAGACAACAGATATTTCAAATATTCATTATTTATGCTTTTTGTTAAGGATTTCTGAGACATATCGATTTTTCTTGTTCATAAACATTAATTTACGTTGTACTTTGATTAATCTTTGGTCATCACTTACTCATGACCAAAATCTAAAGATTGATATTCAATAGACCAATATTAACCGTAAAACAAGCATTTAATATTCATTAAACACTAGTACACTACTATTGATCAAAGAAAATTAATGTAATTTTCTCGAAAATGTTTATACAGTTATGATTAATGATGCGATATAAACTGTCTTAAATACTATCCTGCTGTTTAGTTTTCCATTGAAACAAACAGAAACAGATTCTCAAGCAGAATGTACTTATCAAGTCTCTTTGCTCTGATTTTTTTGGGATTTAAAGTTTCATCCGGTGAACAAATTGTAGATCATAACGTGTTCATCAGAGACAATGTGGCTATTGCATGTTTTAGTAGCATCATAGGAAATTACTTTCCTTGTAGGAGTGTCGTGACCCTTGTAAATCCAATTTTTCATGCTCAGCAATTAATAAAAGCTATCACCGATCGAAACTGTCATAGCTTGATTGTAAAGTCATTTCAAACACAAAAATGGCTAAAAACCACAGATGCATACGTTATTACGGCTGAAGATATTATAGAATTTCAGAATGGCCTTATTCATCTTAGAAGAGATGTCATGTGGAATCCAAGAGCAAAAATCATTGTGATACTACTTCGCCTTGAGTACGAAGATGTTGATGAGGCATTCGGTACATTCAGAAATTTTAAAATATATAACGTCATACTATTGAACTTTCCAAATGGAAATTATTCTGAAATTTATTCCTACGATCCATTCGAACAAGGAAATTGCGGTGATGACGCTACAACAATTAATAAATTTACCGATTGCAAACACTTGAGACAAGAAACTAATATATTCACCATCAAAACACCAAAAACATATACAAACTGCACTGTCAGAATGACTGCGAGTGAAGACGTTCCTAATTTTATTTTTAGAACCAGCAATTTTAAAGTTCACGGTAAGAGTGTCTTGGGTATAGAACAATTCGTACTTGGAATCATAGAAACTAAAGAAGGCTTTCAAATGGAATACACTCCCAAAACATCAAGATATAAGTACGGATTTGTTTTACCAAATGGTACCTCGACAGGTTTGCTACAATTTCTAGAAACTAACGAAGCAGATATTGTTGGTGGCGGATTCATTTTGACGAATAATAGAATTGAGATGTTTGACTTTATGTGGGGACTTAACTTTGCTTCATTCAAAGTTTTTACACCAACTTTAGAGAAACTTGTTTGGAAAGATGTCTACAAAGTATTCGATATACCCATCTGGATTTTGATAAGTGTGTCCTACATTTTATTTTCAATTCTTTTTGGAGTAATTCAAGAAAAAAGTGTAAAAAAAAGCCACCGAATTGTTAATGTTTATAAAATAATGTGGAGATTTTTCTTTATTGGTGAAATAAGTAAGAAGTTATCAAAGAAGAGAAACATCAGATTAGTCGTGTTATTTTGGATTTGGTTTACATTTTTTGTGACTAATTTCTACTTTTCTGGTTTATATACAATGACTACAAGCAGGGTCAACGTACCTCGACACTTGAACTTTGAAAATCTCGATAGCTTGCCGTATAAGCCCTGCATCAGCAATTCGACTCGAATGTTCTTCGAGTTCGCCTACAACGAACAACTGCCAATGGGACAAGATAATCCGCAGTGTAGGTTTACAGATACGTCACTAAAATTAGTTTCAAACCGAAGAGATATGTATGCAATCGAAATAGAACATTCTTATTTACTGCACGAGCACCGATATATTGGTGAGGACGGGCATGTGAAACTGGATTCGTCTGAATTTTCGAATAAAAACGTCATATCTTTTTTTGCATCGCGAGGATTCCCACTACGAGATTTAATTCAGAAGTACGTAAGAAGAATGGTTGAAAACGGTTTATTGCTAAGTCAATTAAACCTTATTCGACAACACGATCATTCTGTGAAACATCGCCATAAGAAAAAAATCAAGAGGATTCAGTTGATGGACTTAAGGATTCATTTTCTAATTCTGATACTTGGATCTTTTCTGTCCATCATCTGTTTCATAGTCGAAATAAGAATGCCCTGTCGAAGAAGTGGAAAGGACAGAGTCAAAGGAATGTAAAACGTACTCCGCCATTGCTATCAGGGGGTATGCATAATTCCAAATATCCATGTTCAATATATTTCTGATTGTAGTCAAAAAGTGGTTGTTTCATAATTTCTTTGCGTACAGCTGAAAATGCACCGTCGGCCCCTATGATTAGGTCTGCATTGACTTCAACTATTTCTTTGGTGTCAGTCCTAAAATTTAAAGGTATTCTGTTAGAATAGTAGAAAACAAAAAAATTAAAATAATAAATCAATAAATTGGTTATCTCGTGTTTTCTGTCGATATAGTACATAATTATTGCAAAAGATTTTTATTATTTTATGTAAAATTATTAATTTACTTACTTCTGAAAAGATAAAAAACCTTTTCTCAAATTTGATGCTATCAGTTTGTGATTAAAAAATCTCTCCACGTTTTCATACTTTTCAGATTCTGTAAAAAGTAATGGAACTATTAAAAATTGAAACGATTTTGCTGACCCAAGTATCAGTCGTATTGTCAAAGGTTCAAGGCAAGCTGAATTTTTCAATTGACTATACTTCTATATAATGTAACTATACTTGAGTATTAAGCGGTAGGCAGCGGCTTAGCTCTGCCCCTGGCATAGCTGAAGTCCATGGGCGACGGTAACCACTCACCATCAGGTGAGCCGTATACTCGTCTGCCTACAAGAGCAATAAAAAATAAATAAAAAAACTTGAGACCTTAGAACTTATATCTCAAGGTGGGTGGCGCATTTACATCGTAGATGTCTGTGGGCTCCAGTAACCACTTAACACCAGGTGGGCTTGGAGCTCGTCCACCCATCTAAGCAATAAAAAAATTTTGAGGTACTACTTTACGTCATGTTTCGTCTGTATGTTTGGTTTTGAGTGAAGTAGCTACCGTTACTGAACTCCTAAGTACACAGCACTTCTATTATAAATAAAATGGATATATTTTTATCATCGCATCACCGGTCATCGAAAGAGAGGTTGCCTATTTTGAGTATAAATAGAGTGTGTTTTCATAGAACGCATAATTCTAACCTCAGGCAGTCATGCGTTTTGATTTCGACAACGAATATGCATACAATAAATACAATATAGACTGAGACTTCGGGTCTTAAAGTGGGTGGAACGCTGTGAAGTTCGTTAAACTATGTTTTTTCCCTCCGGGCGGAAAGTGGCAACTTTCGTCCCGCTGCGCTAAACAAAGTTGCCGCTTTCCACCTTTGTCGGACAAAAAAATAGTATACAGCCCTTGGAAAGTAACAAAGTAAACCTCAGATCAAATGTAATCGTTAGCCGAGGCGAAGGCTTTTCTTATTTTCTTTCCCAAGAAGTGTAATATACTATTACGTCTATTAATTCCCTGACACATCTAAACCTGACTAATCAAAAAAAAAAAACGGTCTTCGGGCGGAATATTATTTATTAAAAATAAGCAAGCTCAAAGGTTATGCGCAACACGGAAGCCTGTCCGAAAACTCTCTTCGCTTTAAGCTGTCCCTTCAAAAAATTTACCTGGATTGCATCTATATAGACATTGGCATATGAATTAAATAATTTTATTGTTTGTGTTTAGGTTATACATTTTCACGGATTAGGTCTAAGTATCGATAAAATTACATCCTGTACACACCAAGATCGTAGTATAAATACTTATGTAATAAGTACTAGAAGATAAATAGTTACATATGTATAAATTAACAGTCACCTTGTAATAATAGTCCATTTAAATAATTTCGTCCAACGGAATAAATACACTGGAAACAAGAAATAAGAATGAATAAATACATCACTAATTTATTTCTCAACGAATAATTAATTCTGATCAATAGTGATAGATTGTATAAGTTTCAACAATATTGTTTATATGTGTAAATAAAGGTTGCGTTTTAGATTCAAATAGAAAAACAAGACCTTAGTATAAATTGTTAAGATGAAAAGTGTTAAGTGTTAAGCAAAAGAAAATTTTATTGAAACACTGAGGCTATCTCACTTTCTCAGTACGTGTCGAATGCGCTGGATTAGGCAAGAGATGCCTTAAAGAATTGGAAAATCCTAACCGATTGATCTAGAGATTTAAAATATAGAGTGAGCTTGTATAGTTACATTCTAGAGGTATTTTTTTGTTATGGAAATTACATCCCTAAAGATGCGAAGGGGCGCTAAAGATACCGCTAAAAAAATCGAATTGTAAAATAATTCACTTTGATGACCATTTTGTAATGTGTACTACCTTCCAAAACAGATTACATAACACAAATGCTATACTATTGTTATATTCCATTGCTAAAAGAGTACTTACTTGTTTAGTTCTAGAATCATAAGGAATAATATAAGTGGAACCATCGATTCGGTGAATGTTGCGTCCTTTCATGGGGATCCCATGATTATTGATCATGTGGTCTTCTAAACCGACTTCTCTCAACGCCGTTCTGCCTCGTATAGACAAAGCCAGGTTTATGGATCTACCTCGGGCCTGTGGAGTATTTCTTATGTCTGGAATAAGGGCAATATTATTCATTAATTAGAAAAGGTCTTAAGAACCCACAAGAAAAGGTACAACAGTACCGCAGAGCGATAATGCTTTACGGACTAGGGTTTGGTGCGCAGGTTAGCTGTTAGACAATTAAGACTTAGCATTCATATCTCAAGATAGATGGCGGCGTTTTCGTAGTGACGTCTAAATACTACTTTAGCTCATTCAAACATTATTGCTGTAAAAGTGGTCCATGACTGCTAAGGAATACTCGGCTCTATGTTCGTTAAATTGGCATAGCTTCAATTGCATATATTAGGTATTCATTTTTTCAATTTTTTTGGAGAATTTATAAATCATTACAAATATTTTATAGAGTCTCGTATAAATGTGAATTTAGACTTTCAAATAGAATGCGCATGTTTTATTTGTGTAATTTAAACGAAAGCAATACTTCTTTTCTTTTATATTAATAAAGTAAGTAGTGACGTAGTAATTTTCAAAATAAATTATCTTCAATAAAAAATACAGGAACGAACTAATTAGGTGAATGTAAAGACATCTAACCGACCTTCTCGATATTCGTACAGGCGAACGCGATGTCCTCTCTTCGCCAAAAATAATGCTTCGAGTGATCCCACCTGGAATAGGTTGTACCATATACATATTATATCGATACATATTATCGATATTACGATATTACATATTACGATCAAATACATATTATATTATACCGATGAATTAGGTAGTGGTAAAGTCGTAAATTCACACTACATATGTTATAGAACTAAATATGTTTCTCAAATATGTGTCGCGGCGGGGTGACGACTCAGTTGAACGCCTTGTGGTGCAGGGCATGATAGAGGGTACAAGACCGCGTGGCAGATCACCGTTACGATGAACCGACCAAATAAAGGCAGCTCTAAACGGTCCCGTTAACGAGTGCACAATGAGGGCCGCGGTACGCGAGGAATGGCGACGTCTAGTGAAGCGCACTACCAACCGAAGTGATAACCACGACCACTCTGCCAAGAGAGCATACGACTGAGAAGATGTTTCTAAAAAAATTTTTTATAGAAAATATGCATATGAAAATGTATAAATAGATTGAAAATAAATAAAAACACATTCCACGCTTTATTATTAGTATACGTAATTATTTATAAACTTTGTTTTATGTAACGTTATATTATGTATTATGCATAACATATACATGTGAGTACAACAGCGGTTCCTTGACAAGGTCAGCTACTTCCCTTACCGGAAATCAATACTTATATAATAATAAAGTATTTTCCATTCAGTTCTATTACGATATCTCGTAACCAAGTGTGGAGCTACGGTTCGTTCATAGATCTCAATTGTCTAAAAACATTAACACGTCGAGTTTTAGACGTACGGACCAACGCCATTGCTTGCAAAATACTTCTTTTTAATACGCTTTTAGTACCTTCAGACGTATGTATGTATTTTGTAAGGGAATCTTTGAACATGATTTTGACCCCCTTCAAAACGTCGGGTTAACTCGAAATTTGGTATACTTATTAAGGACCGACGACAATTTAATATTTAAAAAAAAATTTAAAACATTGAAATTCAACTAAAAAATTAAAAATAAATAATAGTTTAAAAAAAACTAACAACTAACCAAGCTTTTTTACAATAAAATCATTTTTTCTTACACAATTTTTAATTCATCAATTTATTAAAATTTGTTTTCTATTTTTTAGTTGGATTTTCTATAAAAGCGTATTTTGTTACTTTTTTTTAACTATTATTTATTTTGAAACATATGATTTCCTGCTTTAGTAACGTCAGGATATGTTTATAAAGCACTGTGTTTATTCCAGAAATTGATAGTGCTTTTTTGTTGCCAAAGTACCAGAAAAGCTTGCGGCCGTGACCGTGGTGGAAAGTGACCACCGCCGTCCGCAGAAATAGAAGCGTAGATACCACGTGCGCGCTTTGAAAGGCGAAAGAGTCCTCCTTATCTTATTATGATTCGAGCTGTTGTCTCAAAATGAGTAGGGACAATCACGTTGTAATATATGTCATGAAATTAAGTTTTTATATGTCTCCGGTAACCACTTAGTACGATTTGGTTCATTAACAGGTCTAAAGTAAAAATAAATGATCCAAATTAACCCCATGTCTTGAAGATCTATGAGTTTCAAATAAAACTAGACGAACAGAGACCTCGTCTAATCGTTTTAAAAAATACCGGTATCCTAAACAAGAATAATCGAATAAGGCACTTACTTACTGGTACTTATCTGTCACCAAATAAAAGATTGCATCCTTTAGTGATTTTGCTTAAAAGGAAAACGAAATACCCCTTTATTTAAGACTAGTAAACCCGATCATACTCCACTGTGAATACGACCAATACAACTTAATAGTATACACGTTTTTAAAGTACCTTAATTTGCAAACGCTTTTAAAAAAACTCACCAAACCTCCACCGACAACAACCACATCTAGTTTCTTGAACGTTCCATTCTCTAAATTCGCCATCGCTGTGCTGTATGTAATATTTTACAAAAATAATAATGAACAGATATTGAACGATTTAATTGAAATATATTATTATCACATATAGAGCGATGTTTCCGAGTGTCGGTCTCGAATTCAACTGATGTCTTCAGTGAGTTACACACAACGTCACACACTACAAGGAACTAAATAGCATTTTCACATTGATGCATAATATTACGTAATTTCGAGCGTATCCAGTTTTTAATAAGTAAATAAATTTTTACATTCTTATGATAAGGTTCAAATATGTTTATTACTTTTTTTTAAGTTCTACATACACCGCGTGGGTATTTTTTTTTTACTTGCATGAAAGGCTCACCTGGTGCTGAGTGGCTATCGGAGCCCATCGATATCACTAGGTGACTGAACACACTTGGAAAAGACGAAGACTCAATCATGCAATTCTTACCCACCCTTCAAACCGGACCGCACGATTGCTTCTCGGCAGAATTAGACTTGATGCTGGTACCTATCTGTGCGAGCTTCCAATACGTCCTAAACTTATATATTTCCTAAATAAACTCTTCCAGCAGACTTGAGAGAAACGAATCCCTTTTTACTACACTCCGGTGGTAGATTCTGCGAAGCACTGCTCTTGTTATGCCTAGTACTAGCAAGTTCTCTCAGGTTGAGCCCATTAGCTCACCTACCCGTCCTCGAGAAGCTGGCATAGCCCTTTCGGCTACCAGCTAATGGGCAGGAAAAAATAAAAACTATACTCCGTATGTCGCAGTGGGCAGAGGTCACTCTTCCACTATTAACTCCGAAATAATGCGTGAGTGTAATGTCCGTCTTACGAACTTTTTTAACTATTTTTTACAATATTAATACAACTTTATTTTAACAATAATGTCACTATTCTTTATCAAAAATGTAAAACAGTTACGTCATTGGTAATAAAATTTCGTATATACTTCTTTATCTTAATCACAATTATGTTTATATTTTAAATTTTGTCTCTAGCTTTGTTCCGGCTCAAATACGAAACGTTTTGACAGATTTTGACCGGACTTTCACTAGTAAATTGCTGTTATAAGGAGTAACTTGAACTATTTTATTTTTGAGAAAGAAATCGAAATCCGATCATAACAATTTAGACCCATGAAATTGAGAACAACGTCCGATCTGAATTGTTCTGTGTTCTCGTAATATTAATATCAGACGAGGTAGCAGAAAAACGTGGCCGGGGTTAGCTGGTCATAAAACTAATCCTGTGTCTTAACTATTGGAATATATTTTAATGCTTTTTTAGTCCTACCATTTATACTGTGTGTTATACTATCGTCCCCATTGAATATTCATGAGGCAGAATATACGTAGGTATATAAAAAGAACTATGTTGTAATAAGTCGTGTCATGATACCATCCACCTTGTCTGAAAATATAGACAAAATATATGTATAGACCTGCGTCAATTACCGAGTTAAAAAGCGTGTTCTTATACGTTTTACTGATATTGCATAACGTGTTACAACCTTCGGGTTCCTACGTACCTCATTATCAATCTCGATTAACTTCTCTAATTAAATTTAACAAAACCCGTTTATTTATAATGTTTATAATCATATGATTTTAATTTTAGATGTGATTTTTTTTTGGATTGAACGGCCATCAAATGTTTTTATGACGCTTACTGTTTTGTACAACAATTTTTTTTGAGTTTCATGACCTAGCTAGGGCAGGAATGTACATCTTGAGCGATCAATGCCCAGATCAAGACGTCTTCACGCTCTTATCTCCAAACCAAGTGGTGGGGCGTCTTGAGAGCCTGTATGGATAGGTACCAATCACCACCTTGCCTATTTCAGCCGCGAAGCAATAATCAGTTCCGGTTTGAAGAGTGGGACATTCCCTTTTTTTTGGACCGAATTTTTTTTACTAAATATTACTTTTGCGAATTCATCTTTAAAATTAAAGGTCTTATTCGTCGACATTTAAATATTATGCTAGCTACCGTTTGTTTTTCCATTAAAAACGATTTCTAGATTTTTATAAGGTTTCATTTAAAACCGAATAATAACACTTTAGTCGTCATTAGTTTCGTGATCACACGATAACTGTAAAGTTTACGAAACGTCGGAAATATTATAATGAGAATAAGAAACGCAAGATAAAAGCGTAAAAATAGTTTTAACCATACTTTATAATAACGATTGTTTGCCCTTAAAGCCGAACTCAAATGTAAGTAAAGAACTAATCCATCATTCAACCTATGGAGATTCTTCTGTATTTAATGGGTAAACTGGTGAATATCCTTCAGTATTTTATGGGTAAACTGGTGAATCTCGGTAATTCTTAATTTAAATGTTAACGAAAGGGGATGGCCCATTTTAGGCCCAAAGCGGACAATAGATTATAGAAAAAATACTTAGTGCATTAATTTTGTCATAAATAAATATGCATTTACTTTCTTCCAACTAAGCGCCACTACAGTTTACAATAAGTAGTTTAAAAAAAGTAACTCTATTGAAAAAAACAAGAATTTTATTTTTGCGGGAAAAATATTGCCAACTTCAAAGCCTTTTACGTATTAAGTAAACATTTTAAGTATATAAAAAAACATATAAATAAATCATTTTAAATATTATCATTAATCAATCGATTTTAATCGATTTTAAGCACATAAAATAACATCAAAGACATACCCATTGGACTTTAACTTGTTACTATACTTGAGACCTTAGAACTTATATCTCAAGGTGGGTGGCGCATTTACGTNGTGTGCAAGTAAAGTTTACGGCCAAAACAAGTGTGTTTTATTGTTGCTAAAAGTTGTATAACACTAAACAGCGAGAATAGGTAAGATTAAGACACAATTACAGCATTAAACAATCACTATTTTATCCTTTTTATAATTTTAATCTAATTAATATTAGCAGGGGCGAAAAATTTGCGTGTGTATTGCTCGCCTACCCACACAAGAAAAAAGCTTGTTAACGTTGTTATTCATAGAAACTGATTGTTGTTCATCATCATTATCCTGCCCTTCTCCCAGTCACCTGGGGCCGGCGCAACATGTTTTCTCCTTCCATACTCTTCTATCATATACCATTTCTTCGTTCACTCCCCTCTTACCCATATCGTCTTTCACACAATCTATCCATTTCTTCTTAGGTCTACCTCTTCCTCTATATCCTTCCACATTGATAGTTAACACTCTCTTACCAACCTCATTTTCATTTCGTCTCATCACATGTCCATACCATCCCAAATGCGCATTCCTCAGCTTCTCTGTCACAGGTGCCACTTTCAGACTTCCTCTAACATATTCATTCCGTATTCTATCCATTCTCGTTACTCTACACATCCATCGCAACATTCGCATCTCTGCTACATGCAATCGCCTTTCATCCGCCACTTTTGTTGTCCAACAAGCTGATCCATACAAGACGGCAGGCCTTATTAAGGTCTTATATAATATTTTCCCTTTTAGGGGAAGAGGAATGTGTGAGTCACATATGGTGCCCGTGACCTGCCGCCATTTCATCCATCCTGCGTCAATTCTGTGCCTCACAGTACGATCCAGTTCACCGTCGCTTTGGATAACAGACCCTAGGTATCGGAAGTCTTAACATACTGGCAAAGGTGTTTCGTCGAAGGAAATGGGTGTAAAATTGGAGAGACCGCCAAAATCACAGAACAGATGTTCGGTTTTCGATCTGCTGATTTTTAGGCCAGCACTCTCCAACTTGTATCGCCATTTCTCCAGTATGTTTTGGACCTCGAGCCCGTTTTCTCCGACGAGCACTATGTCATCAGCAAACAGCATACACCAAGGGGGCTCTTCCTGTATCTCCGATCAAGGCATCCATCACAAGCAGGAAGAGATAGGGACTTAGAGCAGACCCTTGGTGTAAGCCCACTGCCACACTGAACTCGTCGGAATTCCCGGCGGCGGTTCGTACATACATCCTGGCTCGACTGTACATGGCACAGATTAACCTCACATACTTACCAGGTATACCTTTCTCATTCAATACCCACCACAAAACTGCTTTAGGTGCTCGGTCGTACGCTTTTTCCAGATCAACGAACACCATATGCAGATTCCTGTGCACGTCGCGATGTTTTTCGCACACTTGGCGGAGTGCAAATATGGCGTCCGTTGTCCAGGCATGAACCCGAACTGGTTTTGGGTGATCTCACTTTCATCTCGCAATCGCTTTTCTATCACTTTCTCCCAAACTTTCAAGACATAAGCTTTATTCCCCGATAGCTGCCACAGTCTTGCACATCCCCTTTATTTTTGTATATGGGTACCAGTGTACTGGTGCTCCATTCCGTAGAGATCACTTCTTCTTGCAGCAGCTTAATTATTGAAGAATAAAGTCAGCCACTTATATCCGTCTTCTCCCAGTATCTTCCATACTTCCACTGGTATACCGTCTGGTCCTTCCGATTTTCCGCTTTTCATACTTCTTACTGCTTCTCTAACTTCATACATACTAATCTCATTCACAAGTCCGACGTTCTCTGGCTTCCTATTAATCACTCTATTCCAGTCGCTCTCCTCATTCAACAACAACATATATATATTGCGCAAGCTATAACAACGACCTTCTCACTTAGAGCAACATGAGAAGGTTATTGTTATAGCCCGAAAAAAAACTACAATTATAAATGCAGTGCATCAAAGATTTGTACGGTCAATGTGACCTGTGAACGTATTCGTTGTTTCTTCTGTATACTAACAAAACAAACATACGTTACGCATTTGCGTTACGTAAAATCAGCGGCACCGATAAAATATTGCGCAAGAGAATCGAATCGATAACGAAAACGTAAACTAAGTTAAGAAAACACGGCGTGTTTGTGAATAATGTAAACTGTATGTACGCTTTCGTGAAAACACGCCAAAGTGCTTACTCGTTTTGTTGAACTTGAACGAATAAGACGAGTGACGGGAATGTGCCTTGGACAATTCTAAAGCAGACATTTGAATGTTAAATTATTGCATGCTAACATTAGCTTGATCTTTTTCACTACATGAAGTCGTCGTGGCCTAAAGGATAAGACGTTCGCTGCATTCGTATCTTGCGATGCATCGGAGTTCGAATCCCGCTGGCGGGTACCAATTTTTTTAATGAAATACGTACTTAACAAATGTTCACGATTGACTTCCATGGTGAAGGAATAGCATCGTGTCATAAAAATCAAATGCGCAAAATTATAATTTGCCTAATTACTGGTGGTAGGACCTCTTGTGAGTCCGCACGGGTACGTAGCACCACCCTGCCTATTTCTACCGTGAAGGAGTAATGCGTTTCGGTTTGAAGGGTGGGGCAGCCGTTGTAACTATATTTGAGACCTTAGAACTTATATGTCAAGGTGGGAGGCGCATTTACGTCGAAGATGTCTATGGTGCCTTAGACAATAATAATTCTAAAGCAGACATTTTAATGTTAAATCATTGCATGCTAACATTAGCTTGACCTTTTTCACTACATGCAACGGAATATTTCATCAACTTCAAGACGTACGATTAATTGAAAAATTGCACACATATCGAGGACCGATAGCTGTACAATAATTTTAATCGACCTAATTAATATCTTGAACAAATTACCAAGATAAAATATGTTACTTGAATTTTTTTGAATTTTTAGTTCGGCTTGCCATTAAAGCGTGTTTTGGTGTTTTTTACTGCAGACGACGTTTAAAGTTAGTAAATAAATTGTCAAAGTATCTCACATGGTAGTCTCTTTTCTTCAACCCGTGTCCACTCAATGCTGAGTGTAGGTTTCTTCGAATGCACCCCATTCTCTTCGATCTCTTGCCTTTCTCATCCAGTCTCTACCAACTACTTTGACCAGGTCATCGGTCCACCTTGTAAGCTGTCTGCCCACGTTACGAGGTCCAATACGAGGTCCAGTACGAGGTCTCCACTCCAGTACTTTTGTGCCCCACCGTTGTCAGTGCGACATCATATCGTCTTCTCGCATCAAAACTGTATAATCTCAAAACTTACTAATTCTACAGGAGAGTGTTTTAAAGTTTTAGCATGTGATATTTTTAATATTAATCACCTTTGCAACATTAATTTTTTGTTTTTTACCAATTACAATATCTGCCTATTAAAGTAAAATAATTATATGTATTAATTTTGTTAATAGTAGTCAAAAAATAAGTAAACTTTTTCCGAACAATCACTTTGGCTATGTCAGTCAAACCAGTTCTTCTGCGGATTTCGGTATTGCGCATTCTATCTCGTAAAGAAACGCCTAACATAGTCCGTTCCATGGCTCTTTGCACATGATAGTACTCGGGTATTAATTGTGGCTTTTCTAAGCTACTGTTTCTCTTCCACTCAAATACTTCCGTAGTAGCAGTAATGTGAAGTTCATCAATCCCCTAAGATTCTTATTTTGAAATCGTGGTGGCATGGCAATCAGTACCTACGGGCTCATAGCGTAGCCTACGCTATGAGCCCGTAGGTACTGATTGCGATGACTGTCTTGTCTATAGTCATCGCGACGCAATCAACTATCGCGGTTGGCAGAGTCACATAGCATCTGTGCCTTCAGTCTTAAGATTCAATCAAGGTATGCGACGACTTTCATATTGTGGTGTTTATCAACTCTGGACCTGAGTATCAGATAGAAAATAAAGAAATCTGCTCCTTCAAGGCAAACAAATGGAAGCAACTGTAAAGGATTATACTCACGTTTTACATTGATGCTATTAAATCGCTCATGCTATTGAAAAAGTAGGTGATGAAGGCTCTAATGATCAAATGGATCCTCCTAAGCTTTCTTAGGTGGCATTTACGATAATAATCATGGGCTCGTGTACAATAGCTCTTCTAATAGGGGTTAAAGTATGAAATTACCGTTTTCTTGTAATTCTTCTTCTTAGTCGAATACTTTATTGCTGAAGGTCGTGACCCTGAAAGCCCTTCGTGGCTCTATGTACCATCAGCTTCCATTTGCTTCGGTTTTCGGCTTCTCTCAGGTACTTCGGATTGATATAGAACCTTCATGGTTTGAGATTTTACAGTAAAACTTTTTTCAAATGAACCTATGTGGTTCTTCTTTTAAAAAATATGCAACATTCGATTATTATTATTTTTATTGCCCTTGTAGGCAGACGAGCATACGGCCCACCCAAAAAGGAGATGAGGGGATCATCTCGAATAATTCCTCAGAGCATTCCTCAAACATCTTAAAATGGTACTTAGCCCCTTCACCCACTCATGTCTTCAATTGATTTACGATCTTCGTATACAAATCCTCGTTTATTCTGTATAGGCAGAACGCTTGCCTCTGCGAATCGGTGATAAAGTGAAATGAGCTAAGCTTAATGAAAACAAATATCGTCGATTCGGAGCTCACAAATTAGATAGTCTGTTAACAATACGAGACAGGCGGAATACCTTAGAGATACATTGACTACGAAATATGCGCCTAGTCTACCTCATCACGCTCTTGATTAGACTCTTAATCTCTGTCTGTATCGTATTATATAGGTATTATACCTATTATTATTACTTAATATACTTATATTTTTCAAATTATTGATAAACGGTATATATTTATTTATTGTATGTATATATTTTCCATAATAATATATAGTATACCCAAACATACCTGCCATGTTATTATATTTTCCAGAATTTCTGTAAATGAAACTGTTCTCTGGAAGAGATCGCTTTTTTTTTTTTTTTTTTTTTCCTCCCTACCTATGCTGATAGCCTTGAGAGGCTATTTCAGCTTCACCCTAACGTTAGTAGGTGAGCTCGCGGGGCTCAACCGGAGAGTTGCTAACACTGACCCTAGCAAGAGCAGTGCTTCGCAGAATCTACCACCGGATCGGAAACGCGACCCACTGAGAAGATCCGGCGAGAAACTCAGTGGGCTGTGTCTATGGGTTAGTTCGCTCGTCGAGCCCTTCGTCGCAAGCGACGGGTTCGACGAGGACGGTGACCGGTGCTTGTGGTGCCTAAAAGCACCGTTAATGGATCAGGAGGATCCGTAATGACGTGCTTTGGGCGACGTCGACGGTTTACCATTCGGTCTACTGGGTCGGGTATGTAATTTCCAGCGGCTACGATGAGAGGGTTCTCATGTCGTGCCGCCTTCTCAAAATGGCGCAGCGATGCCGACTGTAGATACTTACTAA